GGGCCTTACATGATGTCCATTGGAAGCCAATATCAAGACCAGATACGACATCCTGCTCTTGATAAATCAAGGCTTGACAGGTTAGATCAGAACATTTTTGTTTTTTCATAATATGTTTTTTTTTCATATTTTTGACTCCTTTTGTTGTTGTTTTGATATCATGGAGTAAGATTGTCAGAGCAGTGAGTTTATTGTTTTGCACTGTCGCTCTACAATTTTAATTGCTTTGTCTTTTCCACATACTTTTTTTAAACGTTTCTCGATAATTTTTTTTTGGATACATGAAATATTGAGCTACCTACTGAGCTTTTACTTCTGCGTACGTAGACCATATGTAAGTAGTTTTCAATTTATAATTGTCAGATTCGTTTTCCTCAATGAAGCCATTAGTAATTATTAAGGTTGCATAGATCTTATATTTATTTCAATAACAATGAATAATCAGCACCCCTTTACTCACTCCATTCGAGCGGTGCGTGTTTCATATTCTGTAAACAGTATTTCTTTATTATTCCGTCTTTAGATATCTTGGAGCAATTGACGCTTTGCTTGTCGAGCGAGTTTTACCTCATTTGCTCTTCTAATGATTTACGTGCTTACTTTCAGCTTTGGTACGGGACCGGCTGGTCTTCTTTCGCCCCTGCATCTGGACAGCCATCGCAGACACGGTGGTAACCCAGAATTTGCACGGCATGTCTACATCAAAGTTAGCAGAGTCATTTAAGTTGTACTTTGAAATGTCTTTTTTAAACTGGTTTAATCTAGGAGGAGACGGATCCACTCGATACAGCATCGCATCATCTCCTAATGCAACAGCAGCTTCCGCTATCATCACAGCAGCAACAACAACAGCAAGAGTTGGAACGAATTGCACAGGCTGAAACACCACCTGCCGTTAGCAACGTTGAGTTGGCTTCAACAATGATTGCCAGTTTAATTGGAGAGCAGGTATCCTGAGTATCAGAATTCCCCTAATTATTCAGTTATCTTACTAATAATATCGGTTCAGCGTACTTCCTCTCCTTCACCACAAAATTACTCTGTATGCGTTCCGCAGTCATCAACATCGATGATGCAACATCGAATAGCAAATATCAAGCGAGATACAGAAGACTCTCTTGAGGGTCGCTCTAATGGAGATGATGCTGAGCTTGAAATGCAAAGGCAACAGTATTCTCAAAAGGGTGCGTTTCATTCAGTGCGAACAACTAGGGGAAAATCCTGTTCTTTTTATTTGTTCAAACTTAAACTCAAAATTTGTTTGATTCTAAAGAACGAAGAAATTGAAGCATCAAAAGTACTCAAACTTATAATTTATGTCTAACCGATTGCTTTGTACTAATACTGCATACACAAGCGTAGCTGGTGACCTTAATTGAATTTCTAGTGTGGTATATCCTTCTATTGCTGTTATCTCTGAATTCTCTTTCCTTTTCTTCTTTGTGTTCCACGATTGTATACACAAATTTTTTT